CCCCATTTTTCCCACCTTTCAGGCACCCTCTGGCCCCATCCAGACATTCGGGGCTGAGTTCGTTGTCCCCGAAGGATCCCAGAAGCTCCGACACCACGAGATCGGCGCGTTCCGGGGCCTCCCAGCGCCGCATGTCCCGGGAAATCACCGACACCTGCGAGCCCCATTCCTCCCACTGGCAATTCTCCAGCCTAATTAGCGATAATTAGCGTTAATTAGTGTTAATTAGTTCATTATTGGTCGTTAAAACCCTCCGGGAGCGATTCCGATAATTAATCAATAACCAACCACTGATCAATAATCACCCTCAGACATCCCCCGGCCTTTTTTCCCCTTTATTTTGACCCTTATTAGTGTTAATTAGCGGTAATTAGTGGTAATTAGCATTAATTAGTTCATTATTGGTCATTAAAACCCTCCCAGATTGATTCCAATAACTAATCAATAACCAATCAATGATCAATAACCCCCCTGACACCATCAATGGCCATTTTTCCACTCTTTTCCCACTGTAATTACCATTAATTAGCCCTAATTAACACTAATTAACCCATTATTAACCATTAAAACTCCCCTCATTAATCAGGAATCGATTCCGATAATTAATCAATAACCGATCAATGATCAATAACCGATCAGGGATCAATAACGGCGGCTCCGGGGCCTCCCAGCGCCGCATGTCCCGGGAAATCACCGACACCTGCGAGCCCCATTCCTCCCACTGGCAGTTTTCCAGTCTAATTAGCGTTAATTAGCACTAATTAGCATTAATTAGTTCATTATTAATCATTAAAACGCTCCCCGATCGATTCCGATCAGGGATCAATAACCGATCAATGATCAATAATCACTCTCACACCTCCCCCGCCCATTTTTCCCCTTTAGTTTGACCCTAATTAGTCTTAATTAGCATTAATTAGCATTAATTAGCTCATAATTAGTCATTAAAACCCTCCCAGATTGATTCCAATATATAATCAATAACTGATCAATGATCAATAACCACTCTCACACCCTCTATGGCCATTTTTCCCCTTTATTTCGACCCTAATTAGTGTTAATTAGCGGTAATTAGCAATAATTAGTTCATTATTGGTCGTTAAAACCCTCCCGGATCGATTCCGATCAAAAATCAATAACCGATCAATGATCAATAACCACCCTGACACCCTCCACAACCTTTTTTCCCCTCTATTTTGACCATAATTAGCGTTAATTAGGGTTAATTAGCATTAATTAGCTCATTATTGGTCATTAAAACCCTCCCCGATCAATTCCAATAATTAATCAATAACCAATCAATGATCAATAATCACTCTCACACCCTCCAAGACCATTTTTCCCCGTTGTTTTGACCCTAATTAGTGTTAATTAGCCATAATTAGTATTAATTAGCATTAATTAGCAATAATTAGTTCATTATTGGTCATTAAAACCCTCCCCGATCAATTCCAATAACTAATCAATAACCAATCAATGATCAATAATCACTCTCACACCCTCTATGGCCCATTTTTCCCCTTTATTTTGGCTCTAATTAGTGTTAATTAGCGTTAATTAGCAATAATTAGCTCATTATTGGTCATTAAAACCCATCCTGATTGATTCCGATCAAAAATCAATAACCGATCAATGATCAATAACCCCCCTGACACCCTCCATGGCCACTTTTCCACTCTTTTTCCACTCTAATTAGCATTAATTAGTGTTTATTAGCATTAATTAGTTCATTATTAGTCATTAGAACCCATCTTGATTAATTAGGAATCGATTCCAATCACAGATCAATAACCGATCAATGATCAATAATCACTCTCACACCCTCCATGGCCATTTTTCCCCTCTTTTCCCACTTAATTTACCATTAATTATCCCTAATTAACACTAATTAACCCATTATTAACCATTAAAAATCCTCTCATTAATCAGGAATCGATTCCGATAATTAATCAATAATCGATCAATAATCAATAACCCCCCTGACACCCTTTATTATGACCATAATTACCCTTAATTAGCCCTAATTAGCACTAATTAATCGATTAATAATCATTAAAACCCTCCCAGATCAATTCCAATGATTAATCAATAATCGATAATCAATAATTATCGATCCCTCACGTGATGACGGCATTGGGGCCATTATTGATCAATTATTGATTATTGATTGGTTATTGATTTGGGGTTTTTTTATCCCAATTGATCCGAATCAGTTCCCCATCACTTCTAATCAATAATTAATCGATAATTATTGATCAGACTCACATGACCATTGCCTTGGTATTGATCAGTTATTGATTATTGATCGGTTATTGATTTGGGTTTTTTTGGCTCCTATTGATCCCAAATCCATCCCGATCGGTTCCCAATCGCTCCCAATCAATAATTAATCAATAATTATCGATCCCTCACTTGACGACGGCGTTGGGGCCATTATTGATCAGTTATTGATTATTGATCCGTTATTGATTTGGGGTTTTTTTGCTCCTATTGATCCCAAATCGATCCCAATCGATCCCGATCGGTTCCCAATCAATAATTAATCGATAATTATTGATCAGACTCACGTGACGATGGCGTTCGGGTCACTATTGATCAGTTATTGATTATTGATCAGTTATTGATTTGGGGTTTTTTCGCTCCTATTGATCCCAAATCAATCCCGATCGCTTCCTAATCAATCGTTAATCAATAATTATCGATCCCTCACTTGATGACGCCATTGGGGCCATTATTGATCAGTTATTGATTATTGATTAGTTATTGACTTGCTATTGATTTGGGGGGTTTTGGACTCCTATTGATCCCAAATCGATCCCGATCGGTTCCCAATCAATAATTAATCGATAATTATTGATCAGACTCACGTGACGACGGCGTTGGGGTTTTTCTCCACGGCGTAAATTCGCACCCGAACCCCGAACTGCCGCGCGGCCCTGAGGACAGCGGTGACCAGGGGACCCCGCCCGGCGCCCAAAACCATCACAACCCTGGAAAATGATAAAAAATGGTGAAAATGACCCAAAAAATGGGATCAGCAACCAAAAAAACCCCCAAAACCGCCCCAAAATACCCCAAAAATGACCCAAAATGACCCCAAAATCCCCTGAGGACAGCGGTGACCAAGGGACCCCGCCCGGCGCCAAGGACCATCACAACCCTGGAAAATGATAAAATATCACAAAAATGACCCAAAAAATGGGATCAGCGACCCAAAAAATGTGATCTGGACCCCAAAAAACCCCAAAAATGACCAAAAAAAACCCAAAAAAACCCCAAATGACCCAAAAAATGCCAAAAAATGATGCAAAAAAAGAACTCAAAAATGACCAAGAAATGGGATCAGTGACCCAAAAAACCCCAAAAATGACCCAAAAAACCCAAAAAAATCACCCCAAAAAGCACCAAGAAGTGACCCAAAAATGACACAAAAATGACCCCAAACGACCCAGAATAAATGACCCAAAAATCACCGAAATCACCCCAAAAAATCACAAAAATGACCCAAAAATGACCCAAAAATGACCCCAAAAACTCCGAAAAATGGCCCAAAAATGACACAAAATGACACAAAATGAATGACCCAAAAATCAGCTCCAGAACCCCAAAAAAACATCAAAATCACCCCAAAAAATGGGATCGGGACCCCAAAAAACCCAAAAATGACCCAAAAATCATAAAAAAACCACCAAAAAATGACCCAAAATGACCCAAAAAACGCCCTGAAAATACCCAAAAATGACCCAAAATGAATGACCCAAAAATTATCAAAATCACCCCAAAAAATCCCAAAAATGACCAAAAAAATACTGGAAAATGACCCAAAATGGCCCAAAAATGACCCAAAAAACACCCAAAATGACCCAAAATCCCCTGAGGACAGCGGTGACCAGGGGACCCCGCCCGGCGCCCAGAACCATCACAACCCTGGAAAAAACCCCAAAATTACCCAAAATTCAGCAAAATCACCCCAAAAAATGGGATCGGGACCCCAAAAAACCCCCAAAAAACCCCCAAAATGACCCAAAAATCCAAAAAAACCCACCTAAAATCACCCCAAACTACCCCAAAAATG